CTTTCTGCATTTAGTGTGTTTCTTGTAAACAACGTATTGTAGGATTCTGGTTTTTGATCAACTCTACTATCTACTTCCATTTAATAGGACCACTCATCCCATTCACATTCACACTTATGATTATTAATTGTGCATTTCCCTCCATGCTATTTTCTCTTCCTTTGTCCTCTTTATCATTTCATCCTTTCCTTCTTAGACAGTGTTTTGCTTCTGTCTACAGCCTTCCCCAGCCTTCTTTCTGTGCTGTTAGTCTCTCCCCACACTTCAACCTACCCCCCTTATACTTTCCTCTTGGATAAGATAGATTTCTATATTCAACTGATTGTGTATATTATTCCTTCTCTGAGCCAATACTAATGAGAGTAAAGTTCAAATAATACCCTTTCTCTACTCTTCTATCTTTCCATCCACAGTAATAGGTGTTTTGTATCTTCTCATGTAAAATAATTTACCCCATTCTATCTCTCCCTTCCTTCTGCACCCAGTGTACTCCTCTTTCTCATCTCTTAATTATTTTGTTATTCCATCAAATTTATCTTATGCTCATACCCTCTATTTATGTATATTCCTTCTAGTTCTATTATTAGTGCTACAGTTTTTAAGAATTACACGTATCACATTCCCATGTACAGATGTAAATAGTTCAACACCACTTAAACCTTTCTGTTTTCTTTTCCCTTTTTACCTTTGTAAGCTTCTCCTGGGTCTTGATATTAGAGGTTAAATTTTGTTGTTGTTCAATTCTGTTCTCCTTGTGAAAGCTTGAAATCCTTCTATTTCATTGAATAACCATTTCTTCCCCTTAAAGTAGTACGCTTAATTTTGCCACATAGGTGATTCTTGGTTGTAATCCTACTCTTCCTTCTGGAATATCATGTTCTGTGACCTCTGGTTCTATAAAATTACAAGTGCTAAGTCCTCTGTAATGCTGATTGAGGTGCCTCAATATCTGAATTGTTTCTTTCTGGCCACTTGTATATTTTTCCTTGACCTGCTAGTTTTGAAATTTGGCTATAATGTTCCTTGAAGCTTTTATTATGGGATCTCTTGCCTGAGGTGATCAGTGGACTCTTTCAACACCTATTTTGTCCTCTTATTCCAGGATATGAGGCAGTTTTCCTTGGTAATTTTTTTGAAAGATGCTGTGCAGGTAGGTCCTCCTTTTGATTATGGCTTTCAGTTAGTCCAGTGATACTGACATTGTCTCTCCTGGATCTATTTTTCCAGGTCAGTTCTTTATCCCATTAGATATTTTACACTTTCTCCTACTTTTTTTCATTTTTTTAAGAAATGTGTTTGATTGATTCTTGATGTCTTTTATTGACCTTCTAATATAGTCAACATTTCCCTCTTAACAATCATTTAGTCGATATTTTATCTCTTTATCTTCCTGTTGTCACTATATAAAATGTTCTTTGAATTTTGAATGAATTTGATTTCACTGTATTTTTAAAGCTAAGGAAACAGGCATGGCACTGGGAAAGTTTTGAGAATTTGGGATTTTGAATCTTGCCTGTGGCCACAGCCCTGTGGGACCCTGAGTTTTCCTCTCTGACCTCTATTTTCCTCATCTATAAAATGATAGGGATAGACTAAATCAGATGTTCATAGCCTGATATCTGAAGATCTTTTTTTAAATTCAATTTTAACTATTTCAGTATGGTGTTTCCCTTTCAATCTTTTATATTTTATGGCTTTTTAATTTTTATTTTATTTTATTTTTTTAATTTATAACCACCTTGGAAAGGGGTCCTTAGGCTTCCAAAGGCTTTCAATTGGATTCTAGATACACACAGAAATGTTAAGACCTGGCCTAGTTCTTAAAGTTTCCTTTTAGCTCAAAATCTACAGTTCTAGGATACATTCAATATGCATATTGGATTAATCACTATGTTAAGCTATAAAGTATTCAAAACATAGACAGTCATTAGTTAGAAGGGAAACTTCCAATTTCTATCTCATTCCTGTTAACATAAATTTGTTGAAGAATTCCATGATTTCCTTTTTGCTTTTGGGAATGTTTTACTTCTTTTTAGTTTTTGGATTTTCTATAGTGAATATTTTAATCAATAAAAATGTCTTGTAAAATATAGAAACTCAGTGCCCAAGAGGAATCCAACAACTACAAGGACTCAAATTCTTTTTCTGATAAAAATACATTTAGGTAAGGAAAGAGATTGTTATTACAAGGATTCATAAGAGGTTCTACTGGGGAAAAAAGAAAAAATATTAAAGGAAGAAAGAAAATATAATCTTTAAGGAATTGAAAGATTTGACTCCAATGTTTTAGGAAAGAACAGTCCCAAATAGACTAATGTTATTGGCCTAATACAGCAAAATACACAGGGGCTAACAATCACCACTAATCTACAAGACAAATTTCATTTCTAGACATATTGTGCCTGTCATGTTTTTGTTACACAGATTCACAGGCATGGAAATCTTGAACTAAAAGCTAGTCCAAGTGCTTTATTTTACTGATGTAGAAAATGAGGCACCACAAACGTTAAGCAACTGACTCAAGGTCATAACAGGCAACCGAAGGTAAAGACGAAACTCAAAGTCAGGTCCTAGAATCCCAGATCTAGAGCTGGCATTGATCTTTGGAATCATTGAGTTCACCACTTCATTTTATAATTGAAGAAACAGGAAGAGAAAATGTAAGTGACTTGCCGAATGTCACACAGATGCTGAGTGAGGAACAGGATTCAAAGGCAGGCTTGCTGATTTTGGGTCTGTTTCAAGATGCTGCTGTCTCCAAAAACTGTAATTTCAGGAAAGAGGGATGTGGGGGTGGATGAGGTGCAAGTAAGCGTCAAAACTATTCCATTATACTTTACAATGTCAATAATTTCCCATAAATTCTTATGGATGTTATACTAACTTGAAATTTCATATATAATTTCAAATCACCATCATATAAGTGACTCTTTTCTAGATCATTTTCTTCAAACTCTACAGTCAAAAATAATACTATAGAGTAAAATAAAATTTAACTTCAATAGTGCACAAAACATTTTTCTTTTTCTTTTTTAAATTAATTTATTTATTAAAATTTTTTCTTTACAAAACATATTTTTAAAATAAAATAATTCTTATTTAGAAACTGGAAATAGATGAGTGTGCATATATGTATGTGTATGCTATATGTACATACAAATATATATGTGTGTGTGTGTGTGTGTGTGTGTGTGTGTGTGTGTGTGTGTGTACATGCGTATGCATCCAGCATATATGTCTAGGTATGTACACACAGATAGACAAATGTACACATAAACATATCCCATTGTATATACATAAGTCAAATGTGGTAATAGTAAAGCATTTAGCATAACACACTGCCTAGAACACAGTAATATAAGAAATATTATCATCATTATCATTTTTATATCCCCACATATGTGCATATTAATAATCTGATATAAACAAGATATCACGCATGCAGGTTCTCCCTTCACAGGTCCAGCCTACTATCTATCCACACCTCTGTTGCTGGTGGACTGGACTACATTCTCCCACAAATGCTCCAAAGGTTATTTACCCAATAAACTCTGCCCCTTGCTCTATACTTGAGCTCTTAAGGACAGGTTAGTTGAACTTAACGATATCCTAAGTAGCCTTCTTTATGGGTAGGGTAGGGGTATACATCTCTCTAACAATAACCTTAACTCTTCCCCTCTTATGAACTGTTCATCAGTAATATATTTCAACCCATTTGACTTTATATAATGTTACATCAATTTTTTTTTTAGAAATAAACATGAAAATAAAATTTATATAGTGCTAGTTCTCCAATTCTCTCTCTGAGAAAATACAGTATATTCCTCTTAGAAGGTAAAAGCTAATTATCATTTCATGGAAACTCATAAAATCATTGTAATCATAGCTGTGATTACATAATGAGTTAAGGTTTAATAACCATTTTGCACACACTTTCATTTTATCAATCCCGAGAGATGCATGTTACAGATTTTATTATCCCTGCCTTATAAAGAGTTTAAGTGACTTGCCTACAGTGATGACAAAGTGTCAAAGGTGGAAGTACAAACACAAGCAGTAAACAGAACCTCAACAAATGATACAGACCAAAAGTAGATCCAAATGATATACTGTACAAAAAAAAATCAGGCATAAAACTCAAGTTAAGTAAAATGATAATGATGGAATATTACACCAAACATTATGGGGTGGGGAGAGGTAAAGCATTTCTTCAAGGAGATTTTATTTATGTAAATATTTATAATAAGAGAAAAAGAAACACTGAATTGAGAACGCAACTAAAATCGAAAAATATTAAATTTATTCTAAAGCAAGAACGTTTTGTTAAAAAGACTCAAATTAGAGATAAACTTTTAAATGACTATGGAATGATAAAACCGAGAACTGATGTTAAATGTCTAATAAAATAAATAAAACATTATATAATATGATTACAAAAAGAGAAAATATAACTTTTCATAGTGAAAAAGAAGGGAGAATTTATAGAGAATAGAAAATATAAAATTTCAAAAACTCACTGCTATCATTCATATACTAACAAACGAAGCAAATTAAATGGAAAACACTTACTGAAAAAGGGCTATCACACACTGACCAAGCAGCTTGAGAAGCCAGGACGTGTGCCAGGGAAGGGGTGGTGAAAGGGACTGGCAGTCAGCCTGGAGACCGCCCACAAAGGCCCAGGAAGCAGTCAGGCATTTAACTGGCTAACACCAGAAACAAGATGTCACCTTCCTCTGCTTGACTCGACAGGACAAAACTTGGGGCATCCGTTAGAAACTAGAGAGAGGCAGATTCTCCCTCCGCGTCTGGGGAAGGCATTCTTAACACTTATCAGACTTAGCCCTGAACTGAAGCACGTGGCCGGTGGCGCACTGAGACTCCAGGCTCCTCCGCCAGAGGGCAGTCTGCAAGGGGAAGTTAGACCAACATCTCTACATCACCTGGTATATGTCTTCCGGGTCAGATAGGGGTGGGGCTACACAGGCTCTGAAGTCCCTGCCCAATCAGATCCTGGGACAGACAGAGGGAAGTAAGACAAAGGAGAAGGGCGGCCCGCTACCTTGATGGAAGGGAGGTGATGGCAGCACTGGGCGAGGTACTGAAAAGGTTTCTGTTTGTTTGTTTTGTTTTTGTTTTGTTTTTTGTTGTTGTTTGTGTTGTTTTTATTTATTTATTGTCATTTGGGATAACTTTTTATGAGATGAGAGAGTTATATGGATGAGAACAACAATTTCTCTCTCTCTCTCTCTCTCTCTCTCTCTCTCTCTCTCTCTCTCTCTCTCATTCACTGCCTGCATAGAAACGTGCAAAGTTTGTGAATCCAAGACAGGAAAAGTATCCGAAGTGTCTGGCAAAGTTGGGAAGAATTGTGTGGAAGTTATTGTAGGCAAGTGTCGGAAAATGATTTGAAGGGAGTGGAGAAGGAATTGGCCTAGGTTAAAGGAAGAGAACAAAAGAACAAATGGAACAGGTAAGTGTCTGAGGTCAAAATCTTGTTTATCCTAAGGAATATCAAGAGACTAAATACTTGAGATATTTTGAATTAATTTTATAGCTGGAAATATGGCCATACATTTGTGGATTGTTGTCAACATCAGCAACTGCAAAAAAACAAAGTTCTTCCTTATTTGCAAATTACTGCAGAGGAGAAAAAAATTTTAATTTAATTTCAATTTTACCTCATACACTATACATTAAAAAAACCCTCTAAACTTTTAAAAATGTTATGCATTACCAAACAGATCACTTTAAAATTGTACGATGTGGAACTTTATATGTAAAATGTAATCTCAAAGAAATAGGCGTAAACTATGTAGTAAAAGTATCTTTAAAATCTGTGGTAGTTGTGTCATTCTTTTTTTGAGGAAAAAGACACAAAGCTCTTCATATTTTAAATGAGTGCTTTTATTTACATATGGACTGTCCTCCCTCCACAACATATATACAACTTTCCCAATTCCCAAGAGCATTGGTAAATTGGTTTCCCACAGGACAATCACTTCTATTTCCCCTCAGGGTTCCAGGGGTGACATTCATTGTTGAGGATTCTGGAACTGTCATTCATGCACCCCCAGCAGGTAGGTGTATATTTCACTGATTATCTGCCAGAATTTATTTGTTTTTAGAAAGGGTTTTAACTGAGCAATTTTAACAAAGTTCTAGAAACATACCTCCATATCAGTGGCCCATTCTCCCTTTACACACAAAAGGACCCTGATGGGAGTGGGATCAAACTGATAGAAGATGAATGGACAAGGTTTTCTTCTTCTTTTGTCAGTCTTTATGAATTCCTTTTAAAATGTGGCTTCTTGGGGAAATTCAGGGTGAGTCCCCTTGTAGACTCTTGATGATGCCTTTCCTTTGGGGAATCTATTATCCTCTAGGTATATCTCTCAGATTCAGTTGCATATGCTACAGTCATTGTTATTACATAGCAGAGGACAATCTCACTAATACCAATGGCCACTTGATCTCGAATTTCAGAGCTCCAAAGGTTAATGTTGGAAGTGAGAGAAGAGAAATTCAGAAACCCAGAGTCTAAAGAGTCTCAAAGAGACCATGTTGTAAGTCGTAGCTCAAGAGCTCACAAGGACAGGTCTGAATTATTGTGAAAATGAACTATTCATTTCCTTGGGAAGGATTCACAGTGCCCTTATTCTCTCTCTTTTATTCCATTTAATGCTAATATTGAATCTCTAAGATTATCAACAATTTATTTATATGTATACACATATGTGTATACACACAAACATATGGATGTGCACATATATGTGTATATATGTTGTATACATGCATAAAATAGATGTGTTATGCATCTATGTGTACATGTATGTATGCATATATCAACATATACATAGCACAAACAATATGGTTTTTAGTATGTGTGTGCATATAGATGTGTATCTACATATAACATATGTAGTATGAATATATGTGTATATATAGTCATCTATCCATATATGTGTGTACACATATATGAACATAGATGTTTGAATATTATCTTCTGTCCCCCATCAACTCAGTCCTCACTTCCTATTTCCATCACACTGTCAGCTCCTTGAGAACAGGGTTTGCTTTAGTTTTGTGTGTGTGTGTGTGTGTGTGTGTGTGTGTGTGTGTCCCCTTTTGTGTGTATGTGTATATTTCCATTTCTTTGTGTCCCCAGTGCAATGTTTGGCACATAGTAGATTTCATAAATGCTTAATGACTTTAATTAACTTGAATATCCCCAAGGCCTTCATGATTCCAAAGCTTCACTCAGGTCATTCTCCTCCTTTATAACCCCAATCCATCTATTCACATTTGATTTCTATTCCTAGGCTCACTGTACTACACCCCAGGCATCTAGACTGCTTTGCAAAGATCTTGTGGTAATTATTGTCTGTACTAATTTTTGCTCATATGTATTGATGTGTTAGTTATTGCATTTTCCCATTCAAATATATTGCTACATATTGGACAATATTGATCATGTACCACATTACTTCTTTATTTTTGAATGGGAGAACATTATTATTAATTGAAGTAAACATTAAAAAGTCAAAACTGTGCATCTATATCTATATCTATATCTCTCTATATAATAAGTGCCCAGTGTTCTATCCATGACACCACCTAACTGTCCTTAAGCTTGGACTAGGGGCATGATCAAAATGTCAGCTCCTCTACATTTTGGTTTCTTCCCAGGGTATTTCTCTCCTTTCAGGGAATCTGGAAGGCATGATTTTTTTCTCAAAGCTGGAAGCCAAAAGTCCAGGATCTCTCTTTATTCCAGGTCTCATTATCTCCACTCCTCATAGAAGCACAGAGCATAGAGTAATCAAACTCTTCAAATGAGGAGAGTCCCATACAAATGGGTTTTGAGGCTCAGGTTATACACACACACACACACACACACACACACACACACAACACACACACACACATACACACACACACATATATATACATATGCACACATGTATGTATATGTATGCACATATACATATATTTATATACATGTGTGTATACACATGTATGTATGTATTTATGCAAAATAACTGTAAAAGGAATACAAGACCACTTTTTGCACACCGGTTGCTGGCTGGAGAGGCATAGGAAAGGCCTGGTGTAGGAAGTGGAATTTGTAACAAACTTTGAAGCCAAAAAGGAATTCTTAATGGCAACAGAGGGAAAGGGAGTATATTTTAGGCACAGAGGAAAAGGGCTGCATTTCAGTCACTGTCCAAAAGCATGGACTAGAGGAGTACTGTGTGAGAGAAACAGCAAAAAAGCCAGCTTGACATATAATTAGGGTGAAAGCGTCAATTTTATGCTGAAGGTTTTTAAATAACAAACACAAGGTTTTAGAATTGACCCTAAAGGTCATAGGGAATCATTGGATTTTGTTGTGGTGGTAAACAATCTCTGCTTCAGAAATAGCACATTTGTTGGGGCAGGTAGGTGGTGCAGTGGATAGAGCACCGACCCTGAAGTCAGGAGGACCTGAGTTCAAATCTGGCCTCAGACCAAACACTTGACACTTACTAGCTGCGTGACCGTGGGCAAGTCACTTAACCCCAATTGCCTAGGGGAAAAAAAAAAAGAAATAACACATTTGTTTTGATGATGGGGTACAGAAAGGAGTGATCTGAGGAAGGGCTTTGTAAGTCTATTGCAATTGTACCGGAAAGCTGAAAAATGCCTGAGTTAAGGCTATGGATCTGTGAGTGGAGAAAGGGATGGATAGGAGAGATGTGATGGATTTTTGATCAATAGATTGAGTTCATCATAGTTTGTGTCAACTGAAATAGAGATTGGAAATGGAGTAAGGGAAAATGAAGAGTTAAGTCATAATAGCTAGCTTTTCTATAATTTGAAAAGTGGTGGCAACAGAAGCATCAGCTTTGGGAGCTCTCAAGCCAGAAAGAGTAAGAAGACCTGGAACTAGTCAGAAAGACATTCTAGGGGATTGCTCTGCTGGCATTGGACACAGGACCAAATACTGTTTGGCAACTCCATTGCACATGTGTACTTGTAGATCCCAGTTAAGGGCAGAAAGGAGCACTTCCAGTCAAGAGGAAGCGAAGCCCTGAGATGTAGTATACCTTTGGATCAAAAGGGATCCTGAAGTATCACTTTCAGTCCTAAGGGGTCAGTGGCCCTGAGGAATAATGTCATTTTTGATCCCAAGGGAGCAGGAGCCCTGAGGAACAGGATTGATTGCAACCTAGGGGATCAATGGCCCTCTTTGGGTAAGGACCAGAATGCAGACCACGCTAGCAGTGCCACATCTCTCCCCAGATCATACCACTTTGGAAGCACCAAAAACTGCCAACCCCCTAGCACTAATTCTGAAAACAGTAGCGCAAAATATCTGAAGCTTAAAACAGTGCTCCTCACTTCTCCGTACTGAGAAGGGAGACCAACTTCAACATAAAGGTCAAAATCAATTAACAGGATAGAAAATTAGCTAAAAAAAAAAAAAAAGAACCTGGCCATAGAAAAGCTCCTATACTGACAGGGAAGACCAAGACACAAACTCAGAAGACAGTGAAGTCAAGACAGCTATAAATTCCTATGATGACACAGATACATTTTTTGATACCTAAACCAGGGTGATGAAAAAAGAGAAAGAAAATAATAGATAAACTTCCTTAGTGAATATCAATGCAAAATGTTTAAGTGAAACTATTTTATTAGCAACACAATTACAGCAATATATGAAAAATCATATAATACTGTCAGGTGTGATTTACACCAAGAATGCAGCACCAGTTTGATACTAGGAAAACTATCAGCATATTTGACCATATCAATAAGAAAAACAGCAAAAATCAAATGATTATCTCAATAGATGTAGAAAAGAAACACTTTAAAAAAATATCCATTCATACTAAAAATACTAGAAGGCATAGGAATCAATGGAGTTTTTGTTAAAATAATAAATAGCATTCATCTAAAACCAAGAACAAGCATTATCTGTAATGGGGATAAACTTAAAGTCTTCTCAATAAGATCAGGCCTTAACCAAGTATGCCAGTTATCACCACTATCATTCAATATTGTACTAGAAATTCTAGCTATAACAAGAAAAATAAATCAAAAGTATTAGAGTAGGCAATGAGGAGACAAAATTATCACTGCTTGCAGATTTGATGGTGTACTAGAGATTCAACTAAACTAATTCAAACAAACAGCTCTAAATCACCATTAGAAAAATTCAAATGAAAAAAAACTTGAAAATATCACCTCACACCTCTCAGATTGGCTAACTTGATAGAAAAGGAAATGGCATGTGCTGGATGGGATGTGGAAAAATTGGAGCACTAATGCATTGCTGGTCTGTTGTGAACTATTGTAACCTTTCTGGAGAATAATTTGGAACTAAACCTAAAGAGCTCTAAAACTTTGCCTACCCATTGACTCAGCAATATTAGGTCTATATCTAAAGTTGATGAAAGACAAGTTTGTGCAAAACTATTTATAGCAACTCTTTTTGTGATGGCAGAGAGAGAACTGATGAACTCTCAATCCAGACGGAAGCATACTTTTTTTTTAACTTTCTTTGTTTTTCTTTGTGTTTTCTTTTGTTACATGGCTAATACATAAAGATGTTTTGCATGACCTCCCATGTATAATCTACATCAAATTGTATCACTTCTCAAGGAGAAGGGAAGAGAGGGAGAATTTTTAACTCAAAATTTAAAAAAAAAGATTTTTTACATGTAACTGGGAAATATTTGACAAAATGAATATATTAAAAATAATGCAATTTTAAAAATTTATTTGCCATATTATGTTTTAGCTTGATTTCTTTGCTCTGCAGTATTGAAGTCACTTCTAGCTTCTCTCCTCTTCTATATGAGTCACTACTAAAACATTTCTCTGTAATTCCTATTAAACTTTTCACAAGGTCTTTTTTAGAGAAAGGTGACCTCTCTTTCTTTCTGTCATTCTTCTATGAAAATCTATCAGTGTAGAAAATATATAATGGAAAGCAGAAGCAGACTGAATGATACAGTCATTGAGGGTTCACTTCTGGCATTAACTTGACTGGCTAATTCTTCCTTCTGATTCAGTTACCTCAGCCTTCTAGGTGACTTTGAATTCAGTAGTTTAAATGTAATCAGAAGTCTTATTTTATTAAATTCAAGTAAACAGAACTTCTTAAACATTTCTTATATGCAGAGCACTGTTCTAGGATCTGGGAGAAATAAATGTAGGGAATACATGATACCTGCACTCATGGAGTATTAAAATTGAGCAGTAATTTACTGATGATTGCATTCAGGATATAACCAATATTAGTCAAAAACTAGGGGCCATGTTTAGAATCAGATTTTTTTTGTCCAAAAATACATTTGACAAGAATAAAGGTCATGTACCACCCTAGTTCAGGGAATTCTGACAGTGAAACAAAGATTTTCATCCTTAATACAGAACACAGATTTGTAATTGAAATTCTTGGGCTAATGGGCATCTAGAGATAAGTTGCCTGGCAAGCAGCAGAGAACATTGAAGAAAACCAATAAGACCTTCCTGGATCTAGTCACAATATCAAATTGAACTTTAGACAAAACCAATGACTAAGTAAAGGTGTCAGTGTCTCATCTTCTATTTGTTTTTGTTTTTGTTTTTTTAATTAATCTATTTTGGATTATCAACAATCATTTCCATAGGCTCTTGAGTTAAAAATTTTTCTTCCCCTCCCTGTCTGTCTCTCTCCCCAAGACAGCACACAATCTGATATAGGCTACACATATACATTCCTAGTAAGCATATTTTCACATTAGTGATGTTGTAAGTAAGAATTAGAACCAATAGGAGGAACCACCAGAAAGAGGAAACAAAACACAACAGAAGGAAAAAAGAATAGCAAATACTATGCTTTGATCTGCATTCAAACTCCATAGTTCTTTCTTCTTTGTGGACAGAATTTTCTATCACAAGGCCTTTGGAGATGTCTTAGATCCTTGTATTGCTGAGAAAGGTTAAGTCTGTCAATATTAGTCATCGCACACTTGGCTGTTATTGTGTACGACTTTCTCCTGGTTCTGCTCACTTCACTCAGCATCAGACCATACAAATCTTTCTAGGTTTTTCTGAAGTCTGCCTGTTCATCATTTCTTATAGCACAATAGTATTCCATTACATTCATATACCACAACTTGCTCAGCCATTCCCCAATTGATGGGCATCCTCTCAATTTCCAATTCTTTGCCACCACAAAAAGAGCTGCTATGAATATTTTTGTACATATGGGCCCTTTTCCCATTTGTATGATCTCTTTGGGATATAGCCCCAGAAGTGCTACTGCTGGGTTGAAGGGTATGTACATTTTTATAGCTCTTTGGGCATAGTTCCAAATTGTTCTCCAAAATGGTTGGAACATTTCACA